CAGACCACACAAAGAAGCAAGATAAAGCAGGAGACACAAGGGACCAGGATACAGACCCAAAACACATCCCTGAGGAAGACACAACACTGAAATTCCCTGATAAGGAATTCAGAAGAATTATATTCAGGTATCTTCAACAAATTAAGAGACAGATCAAGGAAAACACAGAGAAAACCCTAGAACAATTTCAAACAACAATATAAGAACAAAATGACAACATAAATGAAAACTTAGAAATGATACAAAATCTACCCACAGAAATTCAGAAGACTAATACTAAATTTTCAGAAATAGATAAGACATTAAAAGGGCAAAGGAGCAGAATTGAATCGATGGAAGACAGAATTAGTGAGATTGAAGGCAAATACCTGAATACTTCTTTGGAAAGGGATAAACCAGAAAAAAGATCAAAACAAAATGAAGAAAGCTTAAGTTTCATGTGGGATACGATCAAAAGGAATAACCTACCTGTCATCAAAATTCCAGAACAGGAAGAGACAAATAAAACCACAGAGAAAATTGTCAAAGACTTGTTGGAAGAGAATTTTCCTGGTATGATGAAAGATAAGAATATAGCCATTCAGGAATTCCAACGAACCCCAAACAGGATAGATCCTGTTCTGGTTACCTAATGCCACTCTGACAAGAATATACCACAAATGGGATGGCTTAAACAAACAGGAATTTATTCTTACAATTTGGAGGCTTTAAGTCCAAGTTCAAAGTATGAAGCTCTAGGAGCTAGGTGAAAGCCCCTCAGCCTTGGGCTTCAGCTCTGCCTCCAGCTCCCAGCCCACTGAAGCTAGAGGCTTTTCTTTGCTCAGACAGCTGCTGGCTGCTGAGGCTGAGGAGCCCACGGTTGACAAATAAAATGGCACAGTCCTGATGTTACCAAACCACACGGCAGGCCATTAATTTAAGTCCATTGAAAGTCCCAAGGTCGGCAGAGCATGGGAGGCCACTGAATGGCAACACGACTACATGCAGGGTCCAAGTGTGCCATAAGCAAGAGACCATTCCCAAAGCTGTTTCTTATATATGAGAAGCAACCACATACCCAAAGGCAGCTACTCAGCTGCTCGCAGTAGATTCCAACATTGAGTTGATTACCAGTCTCATCATGGGGAATATTACATCCAGCTGCCAACCACTCAACAAGGCCCAGCCAAGTTGACACACAAACATAACCACCACAGACCCCAAAAGAAAATCACCCAGACATACCATCATCAAACAACTTACCAAAACCAAAGACAAAGAACGAATCATGAGAGCACACAGGAAAAACAAAAAGTTACCTACAAGGGGCAGCCAATAAGACTAAGCTCGGATTTCTTGACAGAAACCATGCAGGCAAGAAGACAATGGGATGGTATGTATAAAACACTGAAAGAGAAAATTTTCCAACCAGGAATTATGTACCCAGCAAAATTGTCCTCAAATATGATGGTGAAATTAGGACATTTCCAGATAAGGAGAAATTAAGGGAATTTGTTAAAACCAGACCAACCTTACAAGAGATACTAAAGGGAGTCCTTTGGACAGAGAAGCAACAACAGCCAACAACAACTGACCGTTAACATACATGATGATATAACCCACAAACCAACCCAGCTATGGAAGTGTCCAAAGTAAGGAAGCCTACAAGATTGTAAAGAGGGAACCAGAGACATCAATTGACAAATGAGGACAACTATAAACCAAAAAGAGGGAAAATATTGTGTCATTATAGAACTTCTAGATGGTAGGGAGGTCAAGACAACTACAAGATAGAACAGACTGTTCTCAACTTGGGAAGAAAACTTTAAGTCTCAGGTAACCTCAAAGAAAAATGATAAACCTTCACATCAAAATAAAAAAGGGGACCCCCACAAATATTTAGCAAATACTAAAACAATAGCAACAAAGGAAGTGATAACACAATTCGTAAACAAAATGAGCTCAGCATAGAAAATTATATGGAACAAAGAAATTGACACCACAATAAAGCACATGACAAAAATAACAGCAACAAATTCATATTTGCTGATAATTACGTATCTTAGGGACTTACCTCTAAGATTTACAGTGGAAGAGTGAATGACCAAACTATGGTACATACACATAATGAAATGCTATGTGTTGTTGTTGTTGTTGTGTTCCCTCGAATGGGACCTGACTCATAGCAACCCCTCCTTGGGTTTCCAAGGCAGTATCACTATGGATAGTAGATTGCCCCATCTTCCTTCTGAGGAGTGGCTGGTGGGTATGAACCACCAGCCTTCTGGTTAGCAGTCAAGTGCCTTAGGCACTATGGTACCAGAGCTCCCGGAATGCTATGTAGCACTAAAAAATAATGTAGAGTCTGCAAAAGACCACATAATATGGATGAACTTGGAGGACATTAGCAGAGTGACATAAGTCAATCACAGAAGGCCAAATATAGTATTAGTTCATTGTTGCGGAGAGTCAAGGAAAGGTTTATATATGGAGAGAAACTTTCTTTGTTGGTTGCCAGAGGTGGGAGGGGAGGGGAGAGAACACTGCAAAAACAAAAGAAAAAATTGAGCCACATCACTTTAGTTTTGTGTATTTCACTGTACATAAATTATATTTCAATAAAATGCATTTAAAAAAAAATTGGAAGGTCTTGAACTCTAATTTCCGTTTCACCCCTGTCTTGCTGGGTAACCAAGATTAAGTTTCTTTATCTCTTTGAGCTTTAGTTTTCTCATTATAACATGTATAGCATGTCACAGAGGCTCAGTAATTAAAAAGTGCTTAGTGGTGTTGGCAGCTGGAGATACATAAGCAAAGCTAGTTGTCTTACATTATATTAAGAAAAACAAACTGTTCACTTCTCAGTGCTTAGTTTTAAGAGAGATTTTGACACTATAGGATTCATTAAGAGTTGGAAATGAAAGAATAAAAGTCACAGTTGGTAACTTGGTTATCTTTAAATCTCTAGGAAGTGACCACTCACTGCTTCTGTCCCCACATTGCCTTCTCCTGTTTGTATCAAACATCCCTCTACTTCTCTCTTACAAGGATACTTGTGATTACATCTATTAGGACCCATTTGGATAATATACAAAATACACATCAAAATAAAAAAGAGGACCCTCGCAAATATTTAGCAAATACTAAAACAGTAGCAACAATCACATTTGCAAAGACCCTTTTTCCTTATGAGATGATATTTATAGGTTCCAGGGATTAGGACCTAATATCTTTGGATGGCCATTATTCAGTCGATTATAGATGGAGATCATAAGACATCTCAAAATTATCATTAAAAAAAAAAAGTTGCCATTGAGTTGATTTTGACTCTAGGTGACTTATGTGTATCAGAGTAGCACTGCGCTCCATAGGGTTTATAGTGGCTAATTTTTCAGAAGTAGATTACCAGGCCTTTCTTCCAAGGCACTTCTGGTGGGCTTTAAACTGCTGACCTTCTGGTTAGCAGCCAACGTATATTAACCATTTGCACCTGGTGTATAACAACAACAACAACAACCGATTGCCATTGATTCTTGCTCATAGCAGTCCTATAATACAGAGTAGAATTGCCCCATTGGGTTTCCAAGGCTGTAATCTTTGTGGAAGCAGACTACTACATCTTTCTCCCATAGAGCAGCTAGTGGGTTCGAACTGCCAACCTTTTGGTTAGCAGCTGAGTGTTTTAACCACTGCACCACTAGGGCTCCTTGGCATATAGTAAGCATTCCATAAATGCTAGCTTCTTCCCTTTTCTACATCTCTCCCATGCCCCTTATTTTACATCACCTTCAAATGCTTCTCTTTTAAGGAATTGCATTATCATTATTTAAGGATTATGTCTTTATCACATTAAGTATGAACCTGCTAAGACAATAATGATAATGAACATAATAGCTAACATTTATTAAATGTCTACTGTAACCCAAGCACTCTGCTGAGTACTTTATCCATGAGTTATAAGTATCATTATAATCCCAGTTTCACAGAAGAGAGAAACAGGCTCAGAGAGGTAAAGAAACTTAATTTTCCCAAATTCACCCAGCTGGTAAGTAGCAGAGCTGAGGTTCAAATTAGGATCTCTCTAGTTTTAAGGGCTGTGTTCTCATCATTATACCTTGCCTCTTACTCAGGAATGAGGTTTAGATTCTGGTTTCCTGTGTTGGCCTCTGGTCAAAATGTTCCCTGGATTTCTTTGACCTGTTATCAGGGCCTAACATCACAGTGTTCACCAAGGTGTTTTTTTGTCACATCCTTGTTCTGTGGTAGTTGTTTGGTCCTAAGTAAGTGGAATTTGAGGGAAGAAGAAATGGAGAACTGTATGCCATACTGAATTCCCTCCTTGACTAGCTTACATGTTGCTAGTCAGTGAGTTCCTTGACTATAGGGGTCATACCTGAATTATTTCTGAATACTCAGTACCTAGCACAGGGCCTGGACAGAGTAAATGGTGTGCTAGAATGTAAGCTTCACCGAGGACTTTTGTTCACAGCTATATCCATGCCTTAGAACAGTGCCTAGAATAGAGTAGTTGCTTAAAAGATATCTGTTGGAGGGTTGGCTATCTGGCTTAGCTGGGCATGGTTAAAACTCCTTCACTTGTTAACATTTACAGTGATCATTTCTTAGGTGCATACCATATGTTACCACCTTCCTATAGGTTAGAATTGATGTGCTATAGATAAGGAAGGTAGAGAGGAGTCAAAGATATCTCCCAGATTTCTACTTGGATACTGGGCCGTGATGATAAAACTCAAGGGGAGGAACATGAGTTCTGTTTTTAGATAGGCTATGTTTGTAGTATCTGTGGGTTATACTAAAGTGGATGGGCAGCTGGGGAGCAGGTAGATCCAGGAGTCTATTTCTGGAATGAAGGCTCCAAAGATGTCCCCAGTTTGCTAATGAATTTGGAGGGGGTCATGTTCTTGATCTATCCAGAGCAGAATTGCTTATTTTAGAACTGTAGGCTTAAAGCCTTTACTTCCACTGTATTCTAACTTAAACATGTTCAGTTTCTGTTCCAGATGATCGGGCTGAACAACGAACCTGTCTCATTTGTGGGGACCGCGCCACAGGCTTGCATTATGGGATCATCTCCTGTGAAGGCTGCAAAGGGTTTTTCAAGCGGAGCATTTGCAACAAGCGGGTATATCGATGCAGTCGTGACAAGAACTGTGTCATGTCTCGGAAGCAGAGGAACAGGTGCCAGTACTGCCGCCTGCTCAAATGCCTCCAGATGGGAATGAACCGGAAGGGTGAGTGGTACTCGTGACCCTCACTGACCAACTTTCACTCATCAACTTTATCTTTAGTGTCAGCTACTAAGCTTTGAATTTACTCATTTCCTAAGCCTACATTATGTGTCAGACCTTGTATTCCTAACTAGCATAGTCCCTGACTACAGGAAATTTAGAGACTACGTTAGGGAAAAGACTGGTTCGTAAGATGTTAAGAAATCTATGAGAATGAATGCACAGGCCCCATGTGGAAAGACCACAGTTAACAATCATGTCCTGAATGGGATTAATATGCTCCACTAGTTCTTTCAAGGGATAAAGACAGAAAGTATGAATTTTAGATAGATAGGCAGGAGGTCCCCTGAATGTATATCATTTAGTTTGCTAGAACCATGGAATATTCAGAGACTGGGCTGCCCAAAAGTCTGTGTCCAGGTTGGTGAGGACTTTGGGACTTTTGGGAAGCTGTTTGTGAGCCAGTAACCAGGGATGGCATAAATAAACCAGCATTTTTAAGATGATTAATCTGGAGAACAGCTTGAAGGATGGATTGGGGTCAGAGAAGCAGAAAAGCAGAAACCTTTTGTAAGAGTCCAGAGAGAAGGTCCATTAGCTCTGGAGGAGGCTGGGTAAGAATAGCTAAAGTAGTGTAGAGCAAACTGTTGGCCTTGACCATTCTGATTTTGAGGTACGCTAGAGTGACACAAAGAGATGTCCAAGAAAAAAAGTTGGATGTATGGGATTAGAACTGAAATGAAAAGTCCTGTCTGCAAGTAGAGATTTGTGAAGCTGTTGTCATAAAGGCAGTAAAGTTTTTTCAATGGGAAGAAGTGACCTCAGAGAGACCCTAAATACAGAAGAGAAGAGGGCCAATGGCAGAATCCTGGGGACATTTCCATGGGAGATGGGGAGTTAGGCCAGTATAATTCAGTAGAAAGAGGCTCTGGAGGCAGACATACTAGCTCGTGACCTTGGACAGTTTGCTTTATGTCTCTGACACTCAAGTCAAATTCAATTCAGATTTATTAAGGTAAATATTTAAAGGGTGTAACAATACTTACCTTTCAGAATTTTCTAGAGTGTTAAATATGGATAATGTATATATAATACCCAGCAAAGTATTAGGTGTTTATAGTAGTAATATACAGGGATGGGGAGCTCTGGTAGCGTAGTGCCTAAGGTACTTGACTACTAACCAGAAGGCTGGCGGTTCAAACCCACCAGCCACTCCTCGGAAGGAAGATGGGGCAATCTACTTCCGTAGTGATACTGCCTCGGAAACCCAAGGAGGGGTCGCTATGAGTCGGGTCTGACTCGATGGCACATAACAACACCAACAACATACAGGGATGAGGGTGAGAGTTAGATTTAGCAAACTATTCAAAATGATTTTGTAGCCTTAATGAATGCAGGAATCAAAATGTACTCCAGATTGGTTTTATTGTATGTGAATAGATGGTGAGATTAAAAGGATCTTTTGAAAACTTGCCCATTATGAAGAAAAGTGGAAGAGATGTAGAAGGAAATTTGGATAAATTCAGGTGGTTTATAATTTATGTACAATGCTAATATTTATTAAGCACTTACATGTACCAGAAACTGTTACATACTTTCCATGCATAATCCCATTGAATAGGCTCAACCACCCCATTTTTAATGACTAACAGTTTACAGATGAGGCTTGTTGTTGTGTTGTTGTTAAGTGCCGTCGAGTCGTTTCCGACTCATAGCGACCCCATACACAGCAGAACGAAACACTGCCTGATCCCATGCCAGCCCCACAATCCCTGCTATACTTGAGCCCATCATCGCAGCTACCGTGTCAATCCATCTCGTTGAAGGCCTCCCCCTCTTTCATCGACCCTCCACCCTACCAAGCATGACATCCTTCTCCA